CTACTTCCTGTGTGGGCCCTCATAGACAACACGTGCCTTGGATAAACGACGCGTTAAATTTGAGCTCTGGTACCGTAAATTCTATTTTTTTCGTAAAATCTTTTCCCGCGGACGCCGAAATTTAGTTAAATAGTAAGCTGACCTCTTCTACGTCATGCTAGGGTAGATGCCAATAGCGACATATCATGGCCAAACCGGCAATCGCCGATTGAATTTGACATGCGTTGCGTTGCGTTAATTTGTGTTGATAGCTCATATTAATGGATAGGGGATAGTTATATTGTGGCGGGTTGGAAGTTAACGATACTTTGTTCCCCACTACATTGATTCCATCACAATTACTTGTGTATTACACATCACCAATTTAGAAGTTACTGTGTAATTCTGGCCATGTTTTTTTCCTACTTGAGTCGTTATAAAAAAAATTTCGTCCCTCACCCTGCTTTGTAATAACGACCGAACTCATCCGAGAACGTCCGATCATGACTAATTAAATATTCACGTCCAGTAATCCCCCCATAAACCTGTCAAGTGTTATCTGTTGACCAAATAGTCGGCAGAAGTCATGGTAACAATAGCATCAAAGGGAGTTCACTCTCCTTCTTTTTTTACTCCATGGTCAAATCAAGAATGTTTTTAAAACATGTAGATATCAACTATCAACTATGCCCTTGCATTACTCTGCCGTCACATTAGAATAAATTGCAGTCAACTCAGACCAGCCGTTCTTTTTTGTGCATGTAACGCCATTGGCGAGTTAGAACACAGAGAAAACCGGGATGGCGCCTGGATCTTGACATTCAAATGATTTATCGGTCATGATTGGCCGTGCCACTCTGAACAGACAGCAAGTCCAAAATGACATAAAATGGAAGTAATACTTCAAGTTCAGACAAAATACGTACCAGTGAGTGACATTCGACGATACTGCAAATCCACAGACCGATTTTACCAAGTACTGATTTTGTATTCGCAAGAAAAACGATTCAGTCATCGATAGAAATACCATACACACAACCCGTCAGATTTGGAAGCTGTTTGTTTTCGTTGGCGCCCTAACCACGTGTCACCAATGGTTCACTGTCAACTTTGCCCTTTTGACCTCTTGACAAAGAGTGATTGCAAAAATGACTACCAGAATGCTACAATTCATTGGAGCCGAACTGTCGCCATATACAGCCAAAGTAAGAGCATATCTTCGCTATAAGAAGATTCCGTTTGAACCAGTTCAATGTACGCTAGAGGTAAGCTACGAACTTCCGCTCAAGAAAAAAGAAAGACGCACTACACTACGCCCCCTATAGCCTAACTTCGTTTTGTTATCAATTTTATTATAATCTGACGTTATATCTGATATTATGTCCAGTCAGTTGAGGGATGAAAATCTAAATAAATTTATCAATACTATTTTTATTGATTTTTCCCGATTTTTCGATAAAATCGATAACAAAATTAATAAAAAAATACCGGTAGTACCACAGGGAGCCCAGGAACTATGATCAACTGTACGCACTACCTAT